TTGTGCAGTCCCCACCCAGGTCTGGCAGGTGCAGAGCAGGTCACAGCCAGGCAGCAGCCCCCACTGCCAGACTGCTGCAGTGGGTAGAGGGTGCAGGGAACTCTCAGGGCTGCTTCAGGAGTCCAGCTGGCACAAGGGGTAGTGTCCCCAGGTACCAATTGGATGGGCCCCAGAAGCTCTTGAGAGTGAGTAGCCCTGAGCTGCTTGCCAAGGAAGCTTTTTATACTGATGGGGCCAGGACAAGGCAGCTTTTTATACTGCTGGGAACACTACAGGTGCTGGCCCCAGGGTCTACCTCCCCCTGGCTGAAGATCCGGGAGGAGCCAGGCAGGAGTGTTTTGCCCCAAGTGGCACAACTTGCTCAACAACAATGTGCATGTCAGATCATGTGTGCTGAGGCAACAAGTCCTGGCTCAAATTTTCACTGCTTCTGTGTGAGCTGCTGCAAGTGCATATGCTTGCATGTGTGGATGCACCCCATGGCTGTGTCCAGACAAGTGCGGCCTTGTGATATGTGGCACAGCAGATGCATCTGCAGCACCACATACTGCACATTCGGGCACTTTCTGTGCTGCTACCTTGCAATGCAGGTTTTTTGTTTTTATTTTTTGGTTTTGTTGACCCCTGAAAATCCAGGGGTTAAAAAAAATATGCAGAAAAAAAGCAGGGCAGTGCACATGGAGACAGTGCATGCTGCCCAAAACTGGAGCCTGGCCAACCAAAGACATGCTCCAGCTTCCAACCAGGCTTCTAGCTGCAGGATCAATGCAGCTGTAGCTTTCCCAGCTCCAAGGACCTCAGGTAAGGCTGCTGGGGCCAGCAACTGTGTTGGCCCCAGCCTCCTCTACCCCACCTGGGGTAACCTGCAACATGCCAGAGGGCGCATGGCATGGGCATTCCCTGGCCACAACTAGCAGTGGCACAAGGTGTCCTACTGCTGGTTGTCCCCAGGGAACCAAATGTCTACACTTGTCTGCACACAGCCTACAAGTCTTGAAATCACATATAAAGTTCTGTCCTTGGTTAAAGGGTCATAACTCCCTCTGTAGTAATCTAGATATGTACAGTCATTATTGGAAGGCTCATTTCAGCTTTCAGGACACAGTATTTAGGCAAAACTGTAATTACGAGTGAAATGCAGCTACCACCAGTAGTACTACAAAGATAGAGAGGATGTCATACCTATAAATTGATTACACTACTCAGAGTAGTTTCATGTGGGCGTAATACGGTGTCCTGATGTGGGATCTAGCAGAACACAAAGCTAACAAATGTGTTTTGCAAAAGTGTCATAGGAACTTTAAACAAAAATAGTCCAGCCCTGTTTTATGCCTCTCTAAAATGTGTTTATCTATAATATAGTTTAATGCTGGTGTCACATTCAACAGCATTTGTCCTTTAAAGAGCTGCTATTCTACTTTACTTTGCCAGCAGGCCTCATAAATTACAGTCTATTTAGTGACATGATATCAAATAATTTTACTCTTATGAAAGTCCTTTGTGAGCCGGAGTTATCACTCATCCATGGCAGTCTTTTATCTCTGTATTTTTCAACCCTATGCTAGCACATCTGAGTTGCATATTTGTTTATAATATACCTTCACCCCCACTGGCTTATAGTAAAGGCTAACCTTTCATCCAAGTATGTCTTTCAAAATCTTTACAGGCTGGTTACATGTGCAGAACACTGATGTGTGGCATTTGGTGCCACTGTTTAAGCAAGATGAGAAGTGACTCTTATTTACACTTGTGAATGCATGGATGTGTTAGCACTGAGGATGCACACACTTTTTGAGTGCACTTTATGTACCTATGGCTCAAAATAGACTTGCCCCTTCATGACTGCTGTCATTATTTAATGCATCCATATCCATAAGAATATACAGAGGTGGATAAACCTGCTTAGGCACAGGCCTTGTTTAAACATCACTCATTTACTTTTCTGTACCCTTTAATTCTGACTTGCAACTGGCCCAGCACTCGGACTACTATGAGCCAGCAGGTGATATGGACAAATGCCTGCGGTAACTTTCACTTGTGCTTTAAGACAGCATCAGAATACAGGTTTTCACAGGACCCATCTGTTCCTGTCTGTTAAGTGTGGACGTTGCTTATTAACTTGTTACTTCATTCTGGCCAGCTGCAAATTTCACTCTGTCTAAGAAAATAGATCCTTTAAGTCAGAATAGATTGATTCAAGTACTAATTCAAATGATTTGTCCTTAAATAAGCCAAAATATTGAATTAGTTGAGCATTAAACTTGTTCTGTGCAAAGCTTCAATGTAATGTGACCATGGCTACTTTCATAGGGTCACAAATTTACAAAAAACACTCCACTCCTATGCAGTTATTTAAGTGATGGGTGATTTTTTTTTTTTTTTTGCCCCCAAAGTACTTAGAAGCTGATTTCTTTTGAGAAATCTAGCCCTTTAATTTTAGATTAAAATCAACTGTGCAATTTATCAGTACCATCTCATGTTAACTACTATTAATATATCTTACTTAAACTTCATAAAACTGCTTTAGGGAAAGAACAAAATATGAAAATTAAGGATTAGCTCTTGTGAATGTTAAAATTCTGTAAACAGTTAGGAAACTCTAATTTTACAAAATGAGCTTGGAAGGTTTGCTGTCGCAATACAAGGGCACAAAGTGAAGAAATAGCCACACAAATAACAACCCTGATCCACACTGATTTCAAGTCATTTATATTGCACTAGTGACAGAAATACTGGCTTTTTGTAATAGTGTGGACAGCCCTTTCAGAAACATCCATTATAACAGCTAAAGTTTCTAGGGAGAACCCAAGATACGCCCTCTCTTCTGGAGATGCTATTTAATTTGTAGCCATTATATATACACTTTAATTTCACCTGTAGATGGACCACACTTCCAACAACCTCTCCATGGAATACAGATTTGGTGGAGCTGTTCCAACAGGTTCATCTTGTGGATGTAAAAATAGACCTTTACATTGGGAATATATGCCCTACCTCAGCTGGAAGTGTTCCCCTTCAATTCAAAGAGGGAATATGATTTTTTTGTATACTGTGAAGTTACCTTGGTATTCAGTATGAAGAGCTGTCATAAACCTCCCCCTGAATACCTTAAGGACTTATGAAAACCTCATAAAAAGCAGAATCCTCATCAGTTTCAGTGGCAGGATAGCATTATCTGATATGGGATTTACTGGGCATGTGTGTAGCTTCTTTGCACAAGACAACCTCACCCATGTGCAATTATGACAAAAGGGATATTTTTCTTCTCAAAAGTGTATGTTGGGATACCTAATGACTACTGCCATTCTCTGGACAATCTACTGTAACTAGAGAGTAATGTAAAAATAAGGTGCCTTTTCCCTCTGTCTTTGAAGATGAAAATGAGCTTCCCCCACCTACTTTCTCTTACATATTTTTTTTGCCTACAAGATTAGTTGCTATTAGGTAGCAGCTGTCTGTAAAAGGAAATAGATGCATGATCAAAGCCCTCACCAATTACTGAGTTATTACCTTTTACTCTAGGGCTTTTGAATTGGAGCTTGCCTTCCCCATCTTTGTCAACAATGCTTATAGCTGTGTCTGACACTGTCTGTCTCACAACTCCTTTGAGGGGAAATTCAAGATGGTCTGGTCTGCCAGGGAGTTGCACAGATCAGGTTTTATCATAATATCAGATTTGCACATCCTAATTATAGTGTCTGTTCCGTCACAATTCTCACGCAATTATAGACCTGGGTGGCTTATGAAGATGCATACAAATTCATTTTCAAAAAAGATCTACTGAATACTACCTACTGTTAGTAAAGGCAAACTTGATTCCCCAATGATTAAATTATAAAACCATTATTCTCCTGGGATGGTAAACAGAACAATCTGCAATGGTGCTGTTATTCTTTGGACTGCAGCATCTACTTCTGAGTAGTGCTTGAGAGACAGAGTGACAGAAAAACTGAGTGGAATGTCTGCCAAAGCTGCTTTTTATATTTCCAGCAGAAAGTAAGGTTGGGTTGGCTGCAGCTGAGAACTCCAGTTTTCGCACTGTGGTTTTCTGTGTCAGCTGTGAAAAGCTGCGCTGGTAACACCCAAGAGGGAGTTAGCACCATCTGTGTCCCAACACAGTTCTGCTTTTGCTGCTGCTTTGAACTGACCCTGCTGAAGTTCCCTTGGATGCATCTCAGAAATGATTCTTCCTATTTACAGATATTCCAGACCATATTCCAAACAGAGAGTGGTTGTCCCCCTGGCCATATCCAGTGACAAGTGCAATTTTTCTGGCTATGTCCATACAAACACTCATTCTGGGCCTACCCCAAGAGAAAAAATAGCTTATTTAATCATGCCCATGGAGACTCGCAGGACAAAGTCAAAAGGGTGAAGTGACTCGATTTTCCAGTAGAGGGATGTGTGCCATACCCTATAAAATTCCTGATTTAGAAATGCCGTCACCTCTTTTTAGAAGTGTGCATACATATATAGCACCTAGTCAATGGCTATAATATCCTTCTTTGCAGATCTGTGGGCAAAATAGCCTTTCAGTGGTTTCTTTAGGAAAGTAAGATGAAGGTTTGCATGGTGGAATTACCGAAGGCCTGTAACCCACCATTAGTGTAGTAAAAGGAAAAATCATCGACTCCTGAGTTCTATGTTTCAACCATCTGGTCTCTCTCTGGGGTATATGTGCGTACAATCATCCCAGACCCAAAGGGTGTTTCTCTCTATGAGTATGCAGCTGGAAACTGATAAAGTTCCCCATACCTTTTAGATCCATAGTTGTATGATGAAAATGATACTTAGCCAATGCAAGCCAAGAGATGAGAATGGTCTCTGAAGAGCTGTGCCTTTTGCATTATTAGATGTGCTCTTTCCTCAAGAACAGCTGTTTTCTTGGTTGAGTGTTGAATTATGCAGTGCTTTCATTTCTGCCCTGCTTTGTCATGTTAAACCACCTAAAGGCATTGGCCAGTTTTTTTATAAACACTCCACCATTGTTTATTTTACAGGCTCTCCCTGAAGGGCAGACAGCATCTTGGGATACAGCCAAGGAAGACGAAAACCGCAATAAGAATAGATATGGGAACATAATCTCCTGTAGGTGCAAATTCATATTAAACTAAACTTCCTTTGTATGTTTGTAAGCATCTGGTGGAAAAGAATATTTTTAATAGATTAACTAAAGAAACCTGGTTCAAATGCCCAGCTTGTGAAGGTTAGTAGTAAATGAGGTTTCTTTTTATAAGACATTTTTTTCTTCTTGTTTTGTGTTTACTGCTTTCTTCTTAAGGGCAAATGCCTGCTGTCAGATTCTCACTGTCTATCCTGATGTCAATAACATGTCTGTTCTCTACATGTGCAGCACCACCAACCTCATGTATGGGAGTGCAAAGGGAGGTCAGGATATAACAGATATTATACATGGATCAGAAAGCAAAAGTTTTCCCTGAAACCAGAGGTCAGCAGCCTGTGGAGCACTCACAGGTGGTCTCCAGAGAGCTCTGCTCCTTTTTCCTACTTTTAAATCACTTTAAAACAGGTTAAAGGCATTGAGCTCTATCCTGTCCTACCTTGGTAAGCAAGCAGTTGTTGCAATGACTATAAGGATGTTACAAGATTGTGAATGGGAAAGAGAATGGAAAACTTGTGCTCAAAAGTATGGAATGTCAATACAAGAAAAAAATCAAGGCACTTTTTGAAAAGTCCCACTAAGTTCTCTGGAGCTGAACTGGTATAAATGGGGACACATTTAGGTAACATTATTTCCTATTAAGAACATAGGAATATAAAAAATGCCATGCTGGATCAAATCAGTCTGTACCTCTGAAACCCAATATTCTGTACCTCTCAGTGGCAGAGAATTAATGTTAAGCAGAAAAGTATTCATACAGAACCTATCCAGACAGATCTGACCCCTCCCTCTCCATCCATTACAGCTTCCGGGAAAAATAACATATTTTGTCCTAGGAAAAATGATTTTCCTTGTAAACCTGAGGTTTTAGGGTTCGGTTATTTTGCTGAGACCCAAGAAATCTAGGTTCAGTTCCTTGTTCTGCCTCAAGCATCCTGCATGACCTTGCATGAGTCATTGTTATCTCTGCTTTCCATCTGCAAAATGGGGCTAAGGATGGGGTCTTCTTCCTCACCCTTTCTTTGTCTTGTTGATTTAGAGTGTCAGTTCTCTGGAACAGAAACTGTCTTTTACTATATGGTTGTACATGGCCTAGAAAAATTGGATATGAATAATGATAGTAATAGGTTAAAAGGAGCAAAAGAAGCTTACTAAAGTAAGACTTTCCCCTGACAAGTCTTTTTTTTTTTTTAAATATCCAAAGAAAACCCCTTTCTTTTTTCTAGGTTTTGTTTTAATTAACTAATGTGTTTTTTGGCTTTTTGTTCTGTTCTGTTATTCCTTTTTCGTCTATGAGTTTTTGTGTCCAGCTGGTTGTGGGGAGACAGGCCTTGGTTTCCCCTGTATAAGCTCATTCTGATTTGTGTTATAGTAACAGAGATTGTTTCCACTTGCCTGTAGGGAATTTGCATCTAGACTCAGGGCTGCTATGTAAACCTTAGGTTTAATGAAAACACTCTAACAAAAGAACCAGCATGGTAACATTAGACGTCCTCGCTTGGTCATGGACTAAGACTCTAATACATGGCATAGAATATCATGAAAGAGGCTGGTTTTGAGACCTCTTAATCTAAAGGAATAATTATGGGAATGCAAGCCAGCAATTCATGAGTTCTAATCCTGCTCCTGTCACTGACTCACTAGGTGGCTCTGAGCAGGTCACTAACCGTCTCTGCTTCTGTTTCATTATCTACAAAATGGACATGATAGTACCACATTTTGAATGCTGTGTAAAGTGCGGAAGCAAGTACAGTCATTGTGTGGGTGGTATGTATAATGAAGAAAACCATGCTAGGCAATATATTTTCCATCTAATTTTGAGTAAGGAAAAAGCATGACTGAGGATGGAGGTAGGGGGAACAGTAGCACTGAAACTGTAGTTACCATCTCATTTAGGATGAAAGAGAGATCACCCAGAAGGAAACATTTCAGTTCAAATGAAGCACATGGAAATGAATAAAGGAAGTAAAATCCAGTAAGATAAATGGGAAATGACATAGCAGGAAAATGCTCCCAAACATACATTCTTGTATGACAATAGGTGATACCTGCCTCCTGGCTATAAACTCACTCACTCACTTATTCACTCACATCCCCTCTTTTCTGTTTATTCCTACTGTGTGTGTGTGTGTGTGTGTGTATGTATGTATATATGTATACACACACACAGAGAAGGAATAAACAGAAAAGTGGGGATGTGCTTGAACAAGGAAATGCAAACAGTAATCAGAGTGGAGAAAGAGGTGTCTGGAAGGTAGAGACATCAGAATAAAAGTTCAGAGCCAGAGGCTGATGGGAAAAATTACAGAATTAGTTGGAAAAGGTGAAAAATCATAGGTAATAGAAGCGGAGACAGAGTAAGAGAGGAAGATTGCGGCCTTTCCCCCTTCAAATATATCGCATCAGGAGTTCAGAGAAGACAATAGAGTGTCTAAGGAATAACAAGGAGCTTTAGTAACAGAAGTGGTAGGAGCTGATAAAATAAAGTTGAATGAATTCTGCACCCCTCTCTCTCTGGGGATAGGAGGGAAATAAATGTCAAGAGAAGAAATCTGAAGAGCGTGTGGACCTGATCCAACATCCATTGAAGTCAGTGAGAGTCTTTGTAGTGACTTCAGTGAATAAGCCTTGGATCAAGCCTCATAAGTGTCCTGCCAGTGCAGAAATGGCTGAAGGAACACTGCAAAGGAGTCCATGCTAACCCACATCCTTGATCAGCCTGGTATCTTTCTGATCTGGTGAAAAATAAAGTAGGATGAGTTAGTTACTGGTATATCTTCTCCCACACACTGAAGTCCCAGGCACCCTACTTGAAAAGCATCCAACAGGCAGGCCACCACTGCCTGTAATTTGTGGCCACCTCAGGGTGGGACTTGAAACATGTAATAGCAGTTCATGAGACTTCAAGCAATCAAACTGCAGTCTGTTGTAATTTTTGTCATAGAATTTTTGTACTTTTCCAGTCATATTCTTCAGCTAAAAAGAATAGCTCCTGTTGACATCAATGGAGAGTTTCATGTATGCTGTTATGAGGAAATCAGGATTGGGGGAGGGCAAAAATGGAGGGAAGCTTGCCATTTAGAATATGAACAAACATATGCAAGCCTACAAAATACAAACATAGCAAAATGGTCCCAATTTTAAAGGGGCTTCATCTAGGGTCAAAGCACAATTTAGCTTAGTTACATTACTGTAGCAGCATGCAGACAGAACAGTTGCAGTGTAACACCTGCCCTATACTCCCAAGCAGCAGCTCTTCTTCCACCTTTGAATCCACTGCAAATGCACATTTAACCATACCCTTTGTATGAATTCAGCTCTGGGGAGTTTTGCCTGAGAAAAGGAAACAAGACTTGGGCCTAGAAAATAGCAAAGCTGAAAAAATAACACAGGAATTGGCAAGATGCCTTCTTCAGTGGGTACGTGCCACAGAATCCTGAATAGATCAGAGATTGGAGGGAACAGTGAATAAAACTACTGTGGATTAAACTTGCTGCTTAACTCTGGTTTAAATGTGATTGCTGTCAGGAGTCAGGATCTGCCCTGATTAGTGTTCCAATTTTGTTTACTAAAAAGCTGCAGATGCTGATTAGCATGGTTTGCTTATTCCCTATGGCTGTTTTACCACTTCTGAAACAGGAAATGCAAGTCCCCTTGGGTAGTGGTTTGAAAACTTTTTTCAGGTTTTGCTGTATTTGCATTTTCTGTATCTCTAGCCTTATCTGTTGACATGCGTGTTTGTAACGTCTTGCAGCAGCTCTACCATGATTCCAACAGATCTTACCCTTATATCTTTTTCAGTAATGGCCAATTTTAGGCCGCTCATAACTCTGTTCCAGCACTGTGTTAATACAGGACCCTGACCATCTCTGTTGAGACACCAGTAGGTCTTGAAGCCAATCTCAACTCCTTCAGCTTTTACAGTTACAAATAACCCAAATTGTGGTGGCACATATGAATCCCCACTGTATTTGGAGCCAAAAACAGATGGCTGTGGAGATATTATCTGTGAGGCTCACTACAATGCAGTCGACAAGAGTGTTTCTGGGAAATTGGAGGTAGCTAAGTGTTCAGAAATTATTCACAATTGCATAGATCCTCTTGCTGCTGAGGAGGTGAGACATGTCATCAGTAGGAGTACAGCAGTCTCGAGGTTCCCCTGGTGTTGAGGGTGTAGAATTTCTCAGTACCCAGCCAAGAGACATGGTCTGTGCATCTGCATTTGGGATTTATCTGTTAACATAAGTAACTGAAAAAGCAAGGTATGAGGATAGATGAAGCAGCCTCTTTGCAAAAGCAGTTTCTGTGTCACAGACGCATTCTCTATGACACAGAAATTCCCTTGCCTTATGATCACTTATTTATGGGCAATTGTCTCAGGAAAAATTATGTAAATTAGGAAGTGACAAAAAGTTTGGAGGTGTTTGGACTCATGATGGATTTACTAATGTAGATGAGGAAATGTCTGACAATTGTATTGAAACTTTGTACCAGATTTTCACCACATTTCTGGAGTTAGGGAGCATGGGTTGACATCCTTAAATCATCCCTGTGCCAGAAGTGAAGACAGATGTAGGACGAGGACATGTCATGAGGGAAAGAACACTAAGTCCTCTCTCTCCTTCTTCTCCTACCCTTTGCTGAGCACTCATCGCTGGAGGTAATCCAACATGGAATAAGATAACCTGCTTTCAGAGGGAAGTGCTACTGATGGTGAAGTAGGGCACTGGGATGTGTCTGCTCTTTTACAGGAGGGAGCTAATGAGGGACTCACCTGACCTGAAGAGGACTCAGACTGGAGCTATATAAGCCCAGAGCTTGCACGGGTCAGTTCATCTCTCCCTGGTAGCCAGGGAGTGAGGGGCTCTTGGCAGCAGGGCGCCTGCAGGGACCTGGAGTTAGCTAAACACCACCGGGTTTTACAGACAAGTGGCCTTTGTTTATGTTAAACCCCAAGGGAGGTTGAGGTGTCTGCCAGAGAGTGGAGATGCTTCTTGTTTATTTAAGTTACACTGGTAGTTTAGCCCTGATCCCCGTGGCGGCAGGCTCAAGGCCTATTTAGAGAACTGGTGATCCAGTAGCCCTCAGACTGAGACTGGGGCTCAGTAAGGGTCCAGGAACCTAGAAAAAAGATGAGACCCAGACCAGAGGGTCCACAAGCCCAGAGAAAGGCTGAACTGGGCCAGAGGGTCCACGAGCGCAGAGGAGGGGCTGTGTGCAGGACCAGGGGTCTGAGAGCCCAGAGGAGGGTCTGCATGCGGGACCAGGGGTCCAAGACTTCAGAGGGAAATGGTATGAGGGACCAGAAAGTCCAAGGGGGCCAAGTGTATAAATAAGTTAACATCAAAGAGAGAGAATATCCATGAGGCTTGGGGCATGGTGTACGGGAGGAAAAGGAGCCATGCAATTTGCCCGTAAGGCTACAGGTACCCTACAGGGGCCTATTCAGGCCAAGAGGGACCTATCAGACCTGAGGGCTGGATTGAGGCTAATCAGGGTCCATGAGAGACCCAGTAAAAAATTATTAGGATTAGGGCTCCCTTTAAGGCCTGTTGGTGGCCTCCCTTAATCAACCTTTAATATTAAGAACAAAGCACAGTGGGCAAGCTATCTAGGGAGAGTGACTTTAGAGTCTGAGGTGGGCAGGAGCTGCGAGGCCACCGGGGGGCATCATGGCCACCCCTGCGGCCGTGAGCCTGTCACAGATCAATTCTGGCTGTCAGCCACACTTTTGACTTCCATGCAGGCCATGACTTGAGATTCACAATTTGGTCCACAGAAATAAAGGCGGGGAGGGGAGAAGGCATATAGAAACACTACCATAAAGCCTTTCTTTAAAGCTATATCTTAAATACCTTTTGGGAGAAAACTTTATTGAAGAATATAAAATGATTCAAACATCAGAAAGGACACTTACAGCAAAGGTGTTAGAGTGAACTTTTAAAGATGACTAGCTAAGCCATAGACAAAAGAAAAAGCAATACTATGGACATCACCAAAGGTAATGCATGAAAATAAACATGATAGATGAAGAATAAATACCTTTGGAATTCAGTGGGAACAGTGGTATTACTCTTTCTTTCAAGTCTTACTCTAACAATATTTTTCTTCTACTGCCTCTTGCATCTATTTAATTTATATTTGTTCTATTTGATGATGGAAAACTAGTGTCAAATGAGATGTGGACGTAATCACAATTAAATTAGAATAATTAGGCTATTTTACATGAGCTTGAAGCAATGCTGGTTTTATACTAAAATGGAAACAGGGCTGTTTTCAGTAAGTTCCTGTCATTTTGTAACCGGTATTAGTAGTAGTAGTACCGGTAGGAGAAGTAATAGTAAAATGTTGTGGTTGTGCTAACTCACAAGGGTAGAAAAATGCAAAATGAAATATAAAATGTCATTAAAATGTTTATGAATTTCTGAGAGGCCTAGGAGTTGTAGTCATGAGCTCATTCTTAAGCAGAGGGTCACAGTCTCCCTGAAATGTGTGACGATTTTTGTCATGTGAAATGAGTCTGCTTATAATTTAAGCAACAATTTGAGCTTAACTTGCCAGAATTTAGAAATGTTAGGGGCAATATGGTCCAGTGGGCAGAATGTAGAACCAAGACTCGAGAGACCTGACTTCTAACCTCAGTTCTAGTGGTGGCCTGTTTTGCAATCTTGATAGTGCATTGCTTTCCTGTGCCCCTCTTTAGAATAACTCTCTTTTTAGAATGGCTGTCTTTGAAAAAGCACCTTCAAGCCAGAAATGAAAAAAAATCTGCACTTGAGGTTTTTTATTACTATTATTAGGACTTTAATACACTGTTTCTTCCTTCTGTCCAAAAATTGTACATACTGAACAGCCTCCAAAGCCTTGAAAAAATGTGATTTAAACATAAGTTATTGCATGAACCTTTACCCAGCCTGTTCCCCTAAAAATATGAAGAGGATTGAAGGCGCCATTCTCTCCTGAAGTATATGACATCATTAATATTTTCTATGCTTACTGTATATACAGAGGTTTTCTGTCACACCATTCACACTTCTGAGCAATATAAATCTCCCATAAGAAATAAAATCTCTTTTCCATAAAAGGTGCAATAAGATGCATAGAATTGATTTCTCCCAGAATCCAAAATGAAATCCAGGTATATTTCACTGCACCCCAAAACATATATTGGACTTCAGTCTAAAGGTCTCCTGTCTTTTAAGTTTGTTTGTTTCATTTCAAGTGATTATTTCTTCATAGCTTATTTTATATCAAAGGCAACACAACAATTGTATTCTTGAAGAAAAAAATACTATTTCTATATGTAAAAAACATATTTTTCCTTGGCCAGTTTCTATCCATAAATGTCTGTAGGTTACGCAGTCCTCTCCTACAGCCCTCTTCTTAGATGTCTTTCATGGCTGGTCCCTGAGGAATTCAAGTTGAGATTCTTTATGGTCTTGGCAGGAACATTTTTGTTCTGTTGCTTTTCAATTACATTGTTATAATAAACTAAATCTGGTCTCCTTGTGGCATCACTAGAGGAATTATTATATCACCCCCCTATCTCTCCCTTCCTCCCATTACCTCCAGGATTTTTTGTTTTCTTTTCCACCTGACACCCACTAACTTGGCTCCATGTCTTGAATTGCAAGTGAGGAAGTATCTTCAGGAAATGTGTTTTACTGCCATCTGTCCAGTTTAATCAACTCTGTCTCTTTGTAAATTGCTGCTAGTATAAATGCCATGTTGTCTGTCTAACTAAGTGGTTAAGGAGAATTCCTGATAAAGTGGCATAGGCCCTGGACAGATTTAACATTTGAAGCATTTCACATTCCCTGCATGCCTCTCTGCCTCTACTCTCCTGGTTCCAGCAAGGGGAGCAAGGCCTCTGATATCCAAGTTCTGACAGAGGAGGGGGCTCTTGACCATCCCCAGCAATCTATGGAGCATGCAGGCATACCCATCTCTGGAACCAGAAGACCAGATGCTGAGCATATGGGAGACTGCTCATTGGCTCTCTGGCCTCCTCTGTCTCCCCCTTTTCCCCTACCCATTTAATGAGTAACGAAGTCACAGGACTGAGCAGCCCCTGACTGGAGAGCATGCCTTTGCAAGTTGTACTGGCAATTTTTAAATACCCTGGCAGGTGGGTGCAAGCAGTGAGCTGTCTGTGTGTCTATCTGATGCTGAAGTACTTCATTTATTTTTTTAAATACCGCAAAGTAGAGTGGAGTCCTTCAAATGTTATGTCTGTCCTGGGCCATAAGTGTGGTTAATTTCTGAAGCTGAGAGCTGTAGATGCAGTTCCAGGAATGTATATGCATTCATTGCATCCACAAGCCCGTATTGTTGAACCCAAATGTAATAGTGCTCCTGACATACACCATCGGCATAATCATTTGAAGCATAAATATGGGTTTTTGTAGCCATGTCTTTTTGTAGCCATACATGAATTTTGCATTTGGGTTTGAAAACTTTTCAAATCGATAAAGTATTTGTGAGTATATGAATATTCATGTGTATTTGGATCCTGATTTCCAGAGGTGCTTGTAAACACATCAGTATGCTCAGCATCTGGTCTTCTGGTTCCAGAATTGTAGTTAATAGAATCTACACTTTTTCTCACCTTCAGATATTAGGATCAAAATATGTAGTGTTGGGAACTCAAAAATATTAGATGGTTTTGAGCAATTGGTCTTTACATAGATATTTTTGCACTTAATTATATAGAAACACTAGAATTGCCAGACCACATTAGACCTGGATCTTGCATATGACAATGGCCAGCATCAGCTGCTCTAGAGAAACTGAATGAACTTTTGTAGAGGAAAATTAGGGAATAATCTGCTCATAGGAGAAATGATTCGGCCAAACTTCAGGCAGGGATGGGTTTATTTTGTGAAATATGAAGACACATTATTTTGCCTTATTTAATACAACTAGGGCTGTTCTCTGAAATTGCCTAGTCTTCATTTGGACCTCAATACATTTTGGGCCTCAATACTTTTTTGCTACAATGAGTTCCATAAGTAATTTAATTGTGTAAAAGAATATTTTTATATAGTATTTTCTATTTTTCACTTTATTGACTTCCTCTGTGTCTCTTGTAATCTGAGTGAGAGAAAAAGCAAGTGCCCCATTTTCAACTTCATACTATTCATTAATTTTACATCCCTTTATCATGGACTACTAATGTTTTGTTCTGGTTTTTTTCACTTATCTTAACAATCCTAATCTTGACTGCTTCAACTTTTATCTCAGTTTCCATAGCCCTGTCAGTCCTTAGTGTCTCTTTTGACCATGCCAGGAAAGCAACGAGTTAATTCTAAGTGTAGTGATGGCTTTTGTGACATAAACACTTCCTTACAAGGACCTGGCTTGAAACCCAACAATTGAAGAACATTCCTAATATAAATGTAACATCTTGTAACAAATTTTACTAATATCACAGTGAATAAAATAAGGCTGATTGCAAACAAATTATTACCATGGGATGGAAAGAGGCAATCTTAAATGCAAAAAGAAGTGTTCATAAAGTTCTGTGCTATTCTTTCATTTTACTACTTATACATGTTTAGTCAACCAGTTATAGGAACCAGTGGATAAAGAACTTACTTATGATACATATGCCTTCCTGTATCTTGCATTGCCTCATGAAAGCCATATTCCTTCCTTTTAGCTACATATGGAGCACTTTAAAGGCTTCACTGTTAACATTATTATTTTTGTTTCCTTCTTTCAGATGACCATTCAAGGGTGAGATTGCAACTGCTTGATGGAGACCCTCACTCAGACTACATAAATGCCAACTATATAGATGTAAGACCCCTGTTTGACAAAGAATGCTGTTGGTAGAAGCTGACTACAGATATGATATAACTGATAGCTTGAAGTTATTTGAATGTTGGGTGTGGGGGTGTACTTCCCTGCACCCCCTTCCCTTCGGTGTAGCCTAAATAGGTGGAGATTTCTAGATATGATAGAACCATATGTGGAATATGGGATAATGTACTATGAACACAGAAATCAATAACACCACCCTTACAATAGCATTAATACAGACCTGAGGCTTATTGACTATATACATAGGTACAGTGTGGGAAGTGTGTAAAAAGATTGAGATTTTTTTTCAATGTGTTAGAAAATAGTTTTAAAAAAGCAGCCTCCCCCTCCCTCTCATATATATTGTGATGAAACACAAGTGCGCACGCGCACACGCACACACACCACACACACACACACGTGCGCGCGTGCGCACACACACACACACACACTTCCTTGTGGACATCTGATCATTATTAATGATTAATAATATTCCATTATTTGAAGAGCCCTGTTAGTGGATGATAGCAAGAATATATATAATAAAATGCAAATCACTGATGCTTGGGTCAACTTTAAAAGGAAGCAGACGCATGCATTTCAGATGAGAAGGCACAGATTTTTACTTGCTAATTACTCTAAGTAGAATCATATAGACGTAGGCTGGAAGGGAACCCTAAAGGGCCAAATACAGACAATACACTTTTACTGGTATAAGTGATTAGAAACTGGTGTATACCTGTAACAGAACAGAAATTTGGCACGCAAAACCAGTCTATACCCATAAGAGAACAGAAGTTCTGCACACGTAGCCTGGTTTAAAAATGGCAGAACCCTGTCTAGGATTCCCTTCTCACCACCACCACCAAAGGACGAATGTATCTTCTTAAACTATGCCACTTACAGAAAGCCGTGTAACTTAGATCGATTCCGCCTTGGGCTTTTTGAATAACTGGACCTAGCTGAGGCCATCTAATGCAACCCCCTGCCAGAGATAGCATCATCCCTATCCAAACCATCTAATACAAATCCATGGTCTAATCTCCTAACAAAACTACATGCAAACCTAACTACACACAACCTAAACACAAAACAAGTAAAGCAGGTTTTCCAGAGTGCCCATAGTTCAGCTGTAGGGCTCACCTGTTCTTTGAGGAAATGTGAGAAATGCCACATTCTCAGTCTCTTTCTTGTACAATCAAACGTCTCCTACGAATTTCTCTAAAAACTCAAAATGTTTCTGGATGTTTGAATTTTTAAAGAAGTTCCTGCCATTTGTAACTCCATGGAGAAGTTTGTGAAGGGCTTCTCTTTGCCCATTTAATAATTAGTTTTAGGTTTTTGTACATATTGTAACAGCTGATTCTTTTATGTGGAAGCTATAACATACATGCCCGTTTCCCTACTGTTACCTGTGTTTCATGGACCTTCATGGTTTCTTTTCCAGGGATATCACCGACCTCGTCACTACATTGCCACTCAAGGCAAGTATGGTATCCTAAATTTGAATGTTTCCAAAGACAAGGTTAAACTGATCCAGGAGCCATTCATAGGGCAAAGTCCACTACGTAGAGTGGTATTGACATACAGAAAATAAGATCATAAGATGCTCCAGTTCTTCATTTGTGTATTCTTGCAGAAGCTCAACCTCAGCTAGGTTAACATAAAGATCTAATAGCAGTATCATAATGATGGGTGGGTGAGCAAGACATGAACCCTGGGTGCTTCCTGTAGTAGGGGAAGCACTGGAAAGGAGGTGGGTATCCATCTCACCCTCCTGGTCCCCTGCCCGCACACCTTGCACCTTCCCTGCTCCAGTTTATCTCCTACTCTGGCTTTGGTATTAGGGAGGGCAGAGAAACAGCAGTAGTACACAGTGGAGGAGCAACCAGAGATTCACTGCTGTGAGGGGAAACGTGACCCCCTTTTTTGGCTGCCAAAAACTAAGTGCAGTGCTGACCAGGGTGTAATACTGACCAGTTACACCTCTGTCCTGTAGACTTTAATTTAAAAATGAAGTGTGTAATTAATACCTTCAAAATAGGGTTGGAGCTAGCTGTGCATCAGAATGAGGAGGAGGAATTGCATATATGCCTTAGAGTTGATGATATATGTTAGAATTGAAAGAGAGCATTTTATGGAGCTGAGGAGCTTATGAATAGATTTGATTATGCTAAAGAGGTGGTTGAATATATGAATGTAGCCATAACCCAGATTTTTAGTGACCACATTGATAGTGAAGACATTTATAGGTGAGAGTCACATGAATAGCTAACAATATGGATATACTTCTGCTATCACCCACCACACAGGACAGCTTACTGTCCCACACTTCATCGTATGCAAGTGCTTCTCAACCAAGATGCTATGAGATCCTTTTAAGGCTACCACATGATACTAGCACTGTCAGGTGTGCAAACACCTACATATGATTCACAAGATTAAACCAAAGATTTCAAATACGAATAGGAATTAGTGTCAAACGTGTTCTTACCTGCTGTGGTCTTTCTGAGTTTATTGCAATGGACGAATAACTTTGATGTTCTGTTTTGCTTTGTTTTGTTTTATTTTATTGTAATTGAGAAATGAAAGACAGCTAATGACTGGCATTTTCCAAGAGCTGCCTTGAGTTAAAAAGGTTGCGGGACATTGTACTACATCCTTACCGGTCACATTAACTTACCTTGAACCCTACCCTAATTGCCAGTTTTGTTTGCCCACAGCACATATTATTCCCATGATTCCCCCTCAACAGTCCTGTCTTAAAGTTCTACCTGTAGCCCCTCTTCTGTTCCGTCCTTATATATACTGATAAGTAGGAACATATAGGGGCAGAATGGAGTTGGAGACTGAGGGCACAAAGAATGAGAAGTGTGGCTGTACGGAAACTGTAGAGGGTAGGGAATCATGAAAGTGAGGATGGATGGGCTTTGAAGAAGAATGCAGGCCTTAGTCTGCAGCAGACAGGAGACAAGTCCTCACAAATTCTGCTCTAATCTGTTTCCTGTCATAACTGGGCTTTTGGTCATAGAAGTTTGAAAAATCCTTCTCCGGGGAAACTTCAAAAGGGAGCTTATCTCTACATGTTTATTCTGCCATGATTAGCAAATATTAAAATGTGAAATGAAGGGATTTTTGTCCTGCTTTAAGTGCAAATCTCAGCACAGCTCTAATTATGGAGCCACTAGGGGATACTGTCAAGGTACAGTATTGGTTTATCGTCTGTATCTCTTTACCTATTTTATTACTAGGATGTATAATGCATTCATTATAGCCTTAAAATCTCATGTGCCTTACAGTATCAAGTATCTCTTTTATTAATAAACTCAGTATGCTTCAATGAATGTCACATTAAAGAGCAGGGGAATATCTGGTAAGAAAGGATCAGATATGAGAGTAATAAAATAGGTAGGCAGAAAACAGCTGACATTGGAAATGGTCTATTCAAATATCTTTTTTCCTCCCTTCTTTTGACCTAGGACCAATGCAAGAAACGGTGAAGGATTTCTGGAGAATGATTTGGCAAGAGAACTCTGCAAGTGTTGTCATGGTCACCAACTTGGTGGAAGTTGGCAGGGTAAGGATGCTGGTTTCCCAGTGCACTCTATCATTTTCTCAATGGATGCAACCATCATAGCACTGGTTGAAGTAACTTTCTGTTATTTTGCATAGCTTGCTGGGTGAAATCCCTTTGACTTGATTCAGTCTGAGGGCCAAGTGAATATGTTAAACTATTCATTATCTTATTACCTAGCTACAGCCTGTCATGCTTACTGAGCACCTGTTGTTATGGTGTTTTACTTCCCCTGAATGTAAAGGAAAGTCAGACTTTATTGCTCCTGAGAAGCAAAAAGATTAAAATATAACCTCAGGCCTGACTGAGATCAGGAATTGAGCTTTTCCAGCATCTCAAAAGGAAATGATATTTATTCAAAGTGATCAGTCTTGCAGTCATATGCCTTCCCCCCTTTATCCTCTTTTTTTTACCCATTTGAGTGTTTATTTTGTATTTTCCAGATCCTGTATTTCTGTCCTATTCACTTTTCTCCCCACTTCCCAGACTTTTTTATCCCCAGCTTCCAGTCCTCTCACCCATCCTTCTTTGTCATAATTCTAATTCTTTCAACCTTTAAAGAACCTCTCTGGAGACTTGTTCCTGCCATGCTGAAGTAAATTCTTTAGAAATGGTAATGTTAAATGGGGAGCTGATCTATAGAAGTAGCTGACTTAGTGACATAGAAGCGAAGGCAGGCTAGGAGAGAGATTGAGGTTATCAAAGGTTAACATAAAGTCCATTTTGGATTGAATTTGAGTTTGGTTAGGTCAGATTTTATTCTATCTGACCCACTTCCCTATCCATTCGTACTGTCTGCCTCTTCTTTGTTGCAGGTAAAGTGTGTTAGATACTGGCCAGATGACACAGAGGTCTATGGAGATATTAAAGTCACATTAATTGAGACAGAGCCATTGGCAGAGTATGTCATACGCACATTTACTGTACAAAAGGTAAGTAAGTCCCAGGTCACTTTGCCTTTAATGTAACACCCTATCAGGAATCTGAAGCATGAGCCCACAGACAAAGATGCTGTTGGAGATAATTGGGGATGGTAAGTTTTGGCTGGGTTCCACCTTAGAAACTTGACTTCTGGGAAGTAACATTCAATATCTTACAAACGATTTTACATCAGAAACTGTATGGAAGCAAAAATAACTGTAGGCACATTTCTTAGTGCTTAAAGTCTAAATGCACCCACAAAGCCAGTACATAGATGCCTACATGCCATAAATAATAACTATAGTTATTCACACTGGGAAATTGCAGATGGAAAAAAGCATCAGTAAAATTGGATGCCAGGTGGAGGCCCCTTTCAAAAACAAATAAAAAGTATTGAAGGCCTAACCATGTACTTATCCTAAAATCTGCAGTTTGGGGGGCTTTTGTTAAGTACTGGTAGAAATTGAAAGTCAGAATTGCAGACCATCGTGGTCCTGCCCAGATCACACTTAATGTACCCAATAAATGACTTGAAAACTTTTTCTCCATCTGACACCTTTCAGGAAACTCCATCACAGCCATGCTGGAATATATTCCTGTTTCTAATGAACCAATTTTGTGTTTTGTTAAACCACTGGACAGTTTAGTTGGAAATAACTAATAGTAGCATGTGGCACATCACAGGGCTTCATAAAAGGAAGAAAATCTCTGTGCTTTGTCAGAGCCCAAGAGGTTGGTGACAAAGGGTGTGCCTACATGTGCAAATGCCTGGGCAGGCATCTGTACATGCAAGGGGGTGGGAACATATGTGCAACAGGTGTCTATATGTGCAAGGGCCCCCTGCAGTAGCCAGCGGGAACTCTAGGCTCCCCCTGGGTGCTAGCCCAGGAGCTGGCAGGGAGCATGGGACCAGAAGACAGCTGTCTCCTGGAGGGGGCTAGGAGATTGCTCCCTGGTCCTGGAAGCTGCCTGCTACCAGGCGTGGTTCTACCACCAGAGCCTGGGCAGGTACAATATCCCCCTGCCCAAGAAGCAGGGAGCTTCTGGCCCTGGCTTTCCAGTTTGGGACAGGGGGCTTAGAAAGAGTTTGAGGGGAAGGGCAGGTCCCAGCCCCCTGTCCTGATCTGCCAGTGGGGCAGTTAGCAGTGAGCCCCTGGCTGGGTGAGAAATCCCAGCGGGGCTTGCTGCTAGCTGCCTCACCAGCAGATTTGGGCAGGGGGCTGGGACCTGCCCTTCCCTTGTAGTTTTTTACAGGCCCTGCACCTCGATCACCAGATCTGGGTCTGGGGTTGGGACCTGCCCCTAACCTGACCAGTTCCCAGCCCCTACTCCATGACCATGGGGCGAGGGCTGAGGAGATTGTTCTCAGCCTCAACTCTGCAGTCGTGGAGATGGGGCCGGGCACAAGCTCCCAGCCTATTCCCATCCCTGCTCTATGATTGCAGAGCTGGGGCTAGGAACAGGATCCCAGCCTGTTCCCAACCCACTGCATGATTACGACTGGGAAGCAGGGCCTGGGAGTTCCCTGCTGCTGGGGCATGGGAACATTGTCTCTGACCAGGCTCCAGTGGCAGAGCCCACCCTAGCAGCAGGCATCTCCCAGGGCCAGGGAGCAGTCTCCTTCCCTCTGCTGCCCAGCTGACAGTGAGTAAGTTTGCTCCCAGCCAGCCATCTACACATGCTGTACAGCTCAGTAACTACTCACGGGTAAATTTGCTACTTGTATTTCCAGGTAGCAGATTTACTCATGATTAGAGCAAAGTACTGCATCGTAAGTGTCTGCATATACAGACGGTGAGGCTTACTCTGCAGTAATTTGCTGTAATCTTGAGTAAAGCATCTTGTGTAAATGCACCCAACATGCTATAACTGGGAGAACTTTTGAAGCATATGCATGGAATAAACTAGTGGTATCAGTCCAGTTCATAGGGCACAAGTTCCTGTATTCAGGACAGATGCCAACACTCTCATGAAATGACCCAGGATGGATATGGGGACAAATTAATTTCCTTCTAATGATCTCTTTTCAGGTTTGAGTTATACTGGAAAAAGTTGTTATTCCATTGCTTGTGCTATATGTGCTGTACACAGTTCTGTCCCTAGACCAGTCAAATAGGAGTTTTTCATTAACAGTATATTCACTTCATTTCTAAAAATTTGTGGAAAGGACTCAGTATAGTTTTGAATGTGTGTTGGGAATTTGTGCCACTAATGGACTCTGCTGGTTTGCTACTCTTGTGGCCCCCAAACACTAAAGTTATCCCATAATGCTGCTAATCAGCTAGTGTTAAACTACACATAAGACAATGCACTTTGAATGGGAAGCTGATAACCACCTTCATAATCCTCATCTTTACATTACGTGCTTTGTTTATAATTGAAGATACAATCTCTTGATCTTTCACCCTGAAATCTTCAGTAATGAGAAATGGTACATGAAATGTTGTGTATTATTAAATTGAAATGTCTGCTGAGCCCTCTGAATGGAAGACAAAAGCAATAATAATTGGTGAGGTTGCAGTTATAGAGGTTGCCTTGTCTCCTCAGAAAGGCTACCATGAGATCCGAGAGATTCGTCAGTTCCACTTCACCAGCTGGCCAGACCATGGGGTCCCTTGCTATGCCACAGGTCTTTTGGGCTTTGTTCGACAGGTGAAGTTCCTTAATCCTCCTGAGGCAGGGCCGATAGTTGTACACTGCAGGTATGCTATCCCTCTGTTCGTCCTCTCTCTTATCTCCTATTTTTCGTAAGTTTTTTCCTACTGTATCTAGCCTAGCCACCACCCAGCTTCTTTTTGTTTCTGACTGTATAATTTGCCAGTGTTCAAAGTGAACTTGCATGCAAGAGGACAAATGTCATGTAGCTTTGTGCAGCCAAAAGCACAGAAGACCACTCCAATA